TAAAAATATAAAAATTATAATTAATTTTTATTATCAGTAGTATGTGGGTGATTTTAATTAGACAATCACTTAAATAAATGTCAAATTTTATTTTTTTTCAATACTAATTAATTTAAAAAATAATAATTACATTAGTAATCTATATTTAAAAAAATTTAAAAAATCATAAAAAAATTCCTAAAATTATGCTATAAAAAAATTGTAAAAAAATTATCCCCAGATCTTCCCCCTAAAAATGGGATCCTTCAGCTTCACTTCCCACATGAATCGTAGATTAATTGCACGGAGAAATTAGAGGGTAAAGAAAGAACAATCATGTGCGAACAACTTGTTTTTTATTTTTTAGAAATATATTTATTATTAGGGTTAAAGCTAACTATAGTTCCTCTACTTTCATTTTTCATTTATTGTCCTCCTTATACTTTGAAATCGTTCAAAAACCTCCCTCTACTCTCCCAAAACACACTACTATTCTCCCTCTACTTTCAATTTTCATATTAGTTATTTACCAAACCTAACACTTAACTAATACCATTATTAGCTATCATGTAACAAAATTTTTGCATCGTAAAACCTCCACCCATTCATTAATTTATTTTTTTTTTATGAATTTCAATTGTAAGTTTCACAAGTTTTATGCCACCCACTATGTCAGCAACCTAGATCTATCCTCAGATTTATAAAAATAATACATACATTAAAAAAAAGGGTTAGTAACGATTTTGAGGATCTATATTGTTCGATACATTGAGTACGAAGAACAAAACATTATATAAATTTTTGCAATATCTATCATAATCACTGGATTAATTCTTGCAAGACAAGGAAGAAGTTACATAATCTAAACTCAATTCTCAAATTATATAATTACAAATCTTGGTTTTTATATAAGATTTTACGTAATCATGAGAAACCAAATCTTTTTTTCCTTGACAAAGTACATCCAGAATGCATAATGCCTCAGAAAATGATTTAAAGGTCAATAAAAAGATTATGTTGAAATCATAAATTTTCTTTATAAAATAAAATATGAGAAAAAAGAACCAGTAACTATCAAATAAAAAACAAGCATTTGATAAACATAAATGCATTAAGATCATCATCAGCATGCTCTATTGCACAAGCAATGAGGCCTGGTGCTGCTCTATGAATTATTCTGTCCTTCCAGTTACCCCGGGAAGCTTGACTAACTTGAAGGCCAATAACTACACTGATTTAACTCGAACTGTGGATTGAATACTCCTACAGTGTCAAACACGAACACAAGTTTTTTCTTGGGATTCATCCACTTTCTTTAACCATTTTGAAAATATTTAAGAGAACCACTTTTGTAAAATATTTTTCTTTAATCATTTTTGGTAAAGAAATTATAAAAAAGGAGAGGCCCATACTGCGTGTCCCCAAAATTGTGTACGTGGAGTGTAACCCAGCAACATTCGTGTGGATACCGAGTGAGACTATTAATTTGGTGGGGCCTGCTCATTGGAGTTTTAGCGGTGGTTGTTTTTTTCGAAAATAGGCAATGGAGCGGTGGTTGTTTAAGCTAAGGGGGATACATAATCTCCCCTTGGACAGAAACACCCACACTTATGTCTCATATTAACATCTATACCATATCTTTCTTAAAGATTTTTGAATGGTAGTTTTGGCAACGTAGTAAAAGGTAGTTGGATCTTCATTCTTCCCCTATATTCTTATTCTATTCTATTCTAATATAATAAATAAGAAAAACGAAATTTCTTGCAACTTTCATGCACCGTCCAATTTCTGAATTCACTCTGCAACCGTCCGATCAAATCCTATCCATTCGGAGATTCAAAGATTTTGCGGCAGGTGGACTTCACTAAGGAAAATATTATTCATGAATAGTAAATGGACCGACACCCCCAAAATTCCTATATATACAACACCGCCCCATCCCCTTCATCTCCCATCATCTCAAAGCACAAAGCTTTCTCTTGAGCCAAGTAAACATTTTCTCTCATTTTCCTTTCAATTCCTAAGAAACACTCACTCTCAACCCTTCACACAGCTCAAAATATGGCTCCTAACATTACCAGTGCCAAAACCACAGTCATTAGTCTTGCTAAGGCAGCAAGCCTTCCAAGGAGGGCTTATGTCACCTTCTTGGCTGGAAATGGTGATTATGTTAAGGGCGTGGTGGGTTTGGCCAAGGGCTTGAGGAAGGTCAAGAGCAAGTACTCACTTGTGGTGGCCATCTTGCCGGACGTTCCTGAGGATCACCGGAAGATTCTGGTGGAGCAAGGGTGCATTGTCAAGGAAATTGAACCAGTGTACCCGCCCGAGAACCAGACCCAGTTTGCCATGGCCTATTATGTCATCAATTACTCCAAGCTTCGTATATGGAATGTAAGTAAATAGTAATTTGACCGATTGATATTTATATATGTTCATGTGAGGGGTATTTTTGTTATTTGACACTAAGGTGTGTTTGGTTGCGTGGAAAATTTGCAGTTTGTGGAGTACAGTAAGATGGTATACTTGGATGGTGATATTCAGGTGTTTGAGAACATCGATCACCTGTTTGACATGCCGAACGGAAAGTTCTACGCCGTGATGGACTGTTTCTGTGAGAAGACATGGAGCCACACTCCTCAGTACAAGATCGGATACTGCCAGCAGTGTCCGGACAAGGTCCAGTGGCCGGCGAAGTTGGGTCCCAAGCCTCCTCTCTACTTCAACGCCGGCATGTTCGTTTTCGAGCCTAGCCTCTCCGTCTATGATGAACTCTTGAGGAAGCTCAAGATCACCCCTCCCACACCTTTCGCCGAGCAGGACTTCTTGAATATGTTCTTCAGGGAAATTTACAAGCCAATTCCACCAATTTACAACCTGGTTTTGGCCATGCT